GCGTGCGTAGTGTTCACTTCCATAAAGTCAAATGCCGTCTCATAAAGCCTGGTTGGATCCTGTCAACCATGGTGACACAGAATCAGTACCTGGGAGCATTAAAATTAATTTGCTTCATTTATATTACTGCAGTGATAGCAAGATGAAAAGAGTCCTATATTTAAATTTTACTTTAAAAAGAAAACTCTTTCGAGTAACTTTGTTTGGTTTTTTTAAATTATTGCTTTTTTTTCCTAGTTAAAGAATGTAATAAAAATAGAGTGAGAGTCTGCACAGTAACTTTATGATGGGATCTGGAAAAATGCAAATCCATTCATTCAACACACTCCTTTTGAGCACCTACTAAATGCTCAAAGATGAAGAAGAAATAGTTGTTGACCCTAAGAAGCTTACAGCTTAGTGAGGGAAACACACAAGAATCAGGCAACGATAACAAGTGCTGTGAACGCTAGGCTGGAATGTGCCCCGGGTTAGGTAAGCAGAGAGTAGAAATGATGTAAAGCCAGACTTGGGACTTCGAGGATGGCTTCCCAGAGGAGGTGACTTAAGAACTGAAAACTAAAGGATTGGGCAGGTTGAGAAGTGGACGTTGGGCATTGTAGGCAAAAGGAGTTCATGTGCGAAGGCCTAGAGGTGAGACAGCGTGGGCATGGGTGCCTGGGCAGGGATGAGTGAAGGAGGAACCACAGGTGCTCCTCATGCTGGAGCCCAGAGGTAGCAGAGGGGAGGAGAGATGAGACACAGTGGGAGGGGGGTCCGGGTCGTGAAGGTCCTTGTCCACCACACCACGCTCTCTTGTGTGAGAAACTCCTGCATGATTTGACATAGTCAGATTTGTAATCAAGAATGTTCACTCTGGGACCAGCACGGTGGCGTAGCAGTTAAGTTCACACACTCCGCTTCAGTGGCCCGGGGTTTGCAGGTTCGGATCCTGGGTACAGACCTACACCGCTCATCAAGCCATGCTGTGGCGGTGTCCCACATATAAAATGGAGGAAGATTGGCACAGATGTTAGCTCAGGGACAAACTTCCTCAAGTAAGAAGAGGAAGATTGGCAACAGATGTTAGCTCAGGGACAATCTTCCTCACCAAAAAGAAAGAATGTTCACTCTGGCTGCAGAGTGGAAAATAGCTTGGACAGGACAAGCCTAAAGGCAGAGACTGGTTTGGAGATAGTGTGGAAAGTGCAATTGAGAGCTGATTGTGCCCTGAAGGAAAGTTATCTGGAGGGGATTTGAATGGGCACAGAGGTGCCCAGTAAGTTACTTAAATGCAGGGTTATGTCACATCCCCCTTCATGTCTAGCCCTTTCAGAGTAGTTAATCAGTTCCATGAGTGCTGATTGAATGAATGAATGAATGAGTGATCAAGTGAATTATTAAGTGAGTGAGTGAAGAGGATGCAAGGGTGGTTCATTACATAGGTTTCTGGAATAAAAGCTACAGCTGATTTTCTTTGATTTGACTTGAAGACCAAATTTTGCCCAATTCATGACCAGGCGTCAGAAATCACAGTACGGTGAGTGCAGTGGAGCTCGCAGGTTTCCAACCCCTCTCTGCTGAGTTTCTCATTGTCTTCCTGATAGTGTGGAGACATGGCAAAGATGCCCTAGAACAGAGATGTTACCCTCACTGCTTCCAATGATTGCCACCGTGGCAAGGATCACTCAAACATGGAGAAGTTAACTCTCACTCTGCTTCTCCCAACTTCTCTTTCATCTCTGGCCTTCCAGAAAATGAAAATGCACTCAGTGGACGCTCTGCTGGTGTGGGATGGGGAGGGGAGTGGGGAAGAAACTGAAGGAAAGCAGGAAGGAAGAAAGATGGAGATTAACAGGAGACAGAGGGAAAACGCTAATATTTGAGAAGGAAAGTAGGTAATCGAGTGATTGAAAAGTAAGGTAGATTTTAAGACTGAGGGAAAATTGCTGGAGTCCTCCGCCCGCCCAGTAATTGACTTGTGAATCCACCACATGAGAGTGATAAGCAACGACATGTGAAAGGTCTTGGGCCTAATCTCTGGGAAGCTAAGTTTTTTTCACTGATATATTATTTTCAATCATATTTTTAACATTAGTCGCTCAAAGCGGTGGTGATAGGGAATTTGATTAACTATTAACAAGAAGGTATTGCAAGCACATAAGGTGATGAGGAGAAATCCCTATTTAATTTGACAAATGTCTACAGCAGCTGCAGGTCGTCATGGGTCCCTTCTCGTTTTCAAGCACATGGTGAATGACTGTGATGCGAGGCAAAGTAAGAAAAGGGCCTGTCTCCCCAGGGTCAGTCAGGAAGACAGACACCACTCCTTCAATATAGGGAAGATTAAACAGTATGTACTGGAAAACGAATGAGGAATAACTGCAGGAAGTAGCCCAAGCCAGGGGAACAAAGGGGAGAAGTTGGGGTTCTCAGAACCTACACGCTTGGAGGAGGAAATGGGGGCTCAGACCTGCGAGGAGGGGACAATGAGCTGTGGGCTGGAGCCAACTACTGCTGCCCCCTTGAAAGTGCTGTTGCTGGCAGGAACCCCAAGCACCTCCTCCTTGGCCAGCCTTCCTCTAGTGCCCCCTTTGGCAGAACTGTCCTGAGAGCCAGCTGACAAGGAGTGATGTTTCCAGAGTCCTGGTCCCATCATCGAGCAGTGTACAGAAGGGTGTGTTTGAAGATGAGATATAAGAGCTGAAGAACCAGCACAGGGCCAGAAGACACCTTCACACAAATTGGTTTTAGGGTCCAAAGAAGGTAGAAGGTCACTTGCACACTGGAAGCTTCTTGAGGGTAAAGACTTGGCTACATCTTTCAATCTCTGGTTCCCTTGCCGCGATTGGGGTGATCATAGCAGTTACTTAGCTCCTCACGTGTGTGAAATCACAGGACATCCTGTTGTGGGTAGCAGGGGAGATTGATGAGGTCTGCTGCCTCAGTGCTTCTGGAAGTGCTTCTGGGAAGGGTCCAAGGGGAATGAGTTCCAAAAGTACTTCTGGACTAGAAAGGTTTTTACATTCCAGGCCCTCTTTAGTGTAATGGAGCTGCAATCCTCATGGCATCTTGAACTGAGACCTCAGAGGCCTTGAACCTTACCTGACACAGAGAACTGGAAATTTAAGTTGCCTGGGTTGCAGTTCGGCCTTCACCACTTGGGAAAGTTTCCTGACCAGTAAAATGCTGCCAACAATAGTTTTCATCAATCTCCTTGGGTTCCTGTGAGGCTTAGTTCAGTTAATATGGGAAAGCTCTTGAGAGCACGTGACATCTAGTAAGCACTCACTGCACACTAACCATTGTCATCATCGTCATTGCTACCTTTGTGTACCTGATTCATCACACCAACGTGAATTTCCGACGTTGCTTACATTAAGATACCTTGTATATCTTGCAGTCGATTTTTGTTTACTTATTGTGGCAGCAGCCCTGTGAGTGTCTGTGGCTTCCCTTCAGAGCCCACTTCAGCTTGCTGAAGAATGACACAGAGCCTGAGTCTTGGCCAAGAAAGGATAACTCAGGTCGTTTAGCCCAGCAGCTACGGTCCTCGAATTTTGGGTCAAAGACCCCTGCTCTGATCATTTTTAGGAATAAATATCTCCATATTTCTATCTTTTGCTCCCCTTAGCCCCACTTCAACTCCATCCTCCTCCCCCAGCTCCTTAGCATCATCCCTTTGGGCCAAGTAGTCTTTGCTGGAGACAGGAGGAGTATGTTCAGGTCTCATTTTTTCATCTTCATAACTTTTCAGGACTATAATACCAGGTGCTGCTTTTCAACTATAAATGGATGAAGCATATTGTTTTTTAAAATAAAGCTCTGTTGTTTTTTCTATTTGTGAGACAACAGAAACTGCAAAAATCTGTGCTTTTGAAGCTCTGAGAGAGACATTGTCTGGGAAGGGTTAAGTGTTTTCAGTTTATGGCAATGATATGTGAGGCTGTGAAAAAGAAAGCAGCCATGGAATACATTTTTGCATAAAGGTTTGAAATTTATTAGAAGGTAGAAATAATTGAAAAAGCAGAGCTTTCCTCGCTGGATTATAATAAAAAGTTATTTATGTGCCATCATTGCGGGTGGTTAGGAGCTTGGGTCCTTTTCAGAGGCTGTTCTCAAAGAAACGAGAAGAAAGCTAAGCTATTAAAGCTATTCAGTTGGAAAAGCTGACATGCATACACAGCAGTTCTGAGAACTGGGCCATATTAAAACAATTGTTGATAATAGTCAAACTGCCAGTGTCTGAATTCTATTATAGAGGCTTAATAGGTACACACTATAGGCAGCTGCTTGCAAAATATGCACACCTTGCCTGGGTGTTAATAGAATGGGAGACTCAGGAAGTAGTATTCATTTACTGGAGTTCTATTAAGACCTTCACTGTGGGGTTTGAACATTCAGCACTAATCTTAGAATTTACCTGCCATACACAACATTGCGTAAAGTGCTTTGAGATCCTTGGTGAAAAGAGAATGTGCAAAGCCTTTATTAATGTTCATTTGGCTAAAGTACCCTCCTACTTATAGCAGTATATACCATACATTGTCTTACCATATCCTTTCGACTCTCAAAAGTGAACTTTAGGTCTTTGAAATGGTGCCAGGCAGGCCTCCCTAAAGACCAACAGACTGTTTCACTACCAAGCAAGAAAAGATCCATTTTGAACCTCTACCTCACTGGCATTTTTCAGTCTTCTTGAAGCAACTCTGTTCCACACTATCTTCTCTCCTCTCCTTGTTAGAGGCTGCTAATTTGCAGTGTGAGTTATTGGTGCCCTTGAATAGTGACCATCTTTTCAGCTTTAATCTGTTCTAGGTAGAGTTTAGAGCTTTATGTAGTGAAAGGAAGATGGAAAGATTTGGTGACTCGTTTGAGACCTTCCCTTTTCAGTTCTGTGAATACATATGGGGGAAACATGGCAATGGTCTATTCGCAAGTTCTGATTTTAATGGAGTATGTCTTTAATTTGATGACAGACTGAATTTGCCTCTAGGTTTTCTGTCTTCTTTGTTCGTCAGGAATTCCAATGCTGAAGATAGTGTTTGCAGGCCACGAGCACCTCTCTTTAATATCCGTACCCCTGCTCATCTACCACCCGGTTCAGATCCTTCTGGGAAGTGTGCTGGTGCCAACCATAAAGTCTTGGATGGTGTCAAGGCAGAAGGTGAGACTCTAGAAGGATCTTATTTGAATCCAAATCAGATTGAAATGCTGGTTCTGAATCTTGGCTGTTTATACACTTTAACTTGTGCGAGCATATCCTTATTCTCAAGTATATATTTTCTTAACTAAATACAATAATAATGATGCATTGATCCATTTCAATTTGAACAGGAGAATTGAGGGTTAAATATTCTATATTGTTATAAAGGTACAGTTATACTTAAAATGCAGTTTTAAAAAGCTCTTTTTAATTTGCTCATATTGAAGGGCATATTGCAATGGGGTAAAGTTTCAGTAAATATACTCAAAAATATATGTATCCCTCCACCCAAGTGTATACTGTCTGTGCCCCGCTCGATCTTTCATATGTGTCCTGATTTCACATCTGTCTAAATATCATGGTACCTGCCTTTATTTAGAATTCCTACTTTATTTTTGTTTCTAGACACATAATAACTTTTTTGTATAGCAAAACTACGTGTTTGAGCATTAAAAAAATTTCAGTAGCAAAGGAGCCCACACAATGTCAATTCACTACACTTAGCTCAGAGTCTCGTTATTTATTTGGTATTTGTGGATTTGATTTCCTAAATTATCACCCAAAATAAAATCAGCCGGGTGAGTCACATGAAGTTTTGATGCTGCATACATCGTGGAAGCATGCGTAGAGCTGGCTCCTTCCCAGTGGTTGGACTTTACAGGACGTCTTTCAGCCTGTACACAAGGTGGCGACCCTTATCAGGAGATGAGTAGGAAGAAGAGACAGCCAATGACAAAGGAGTGCCCTGTGTCCTGTCCTTAGTGTCCTGAAAACAGAATAGCCACAATGCCACCTATTGAGCTGTGTGTGCTAAGCACATCCCAACCTGTACCTGGTTCAGAGTGTGGACCCTTGAGCCAGCCTGCTGGCTCTGCCACCTTCTCACTGGGCGACCTGGGGCACGTTACTTCACTTCCCTGTACCTCAGTTTCTGCTACTCTAAGACTAATGATAATATCTACTCCTCAGAGTTGTAGGAGACTAGGTGGCAGGGGTTTGATAAAAGCTAGCTGCTATAATTACCATTATTGTCATTGTTGTTCGTTGTTATCTGCAACACCATTTATAGCAAGCTTTGCTATCCCCATTTTACAGGTTAGGAAATAGGCTCAGAGTGTTGAGCAACTTGCCCAAGATTATATGGTTGGTTTAGTCAGTGAAGAGTTAGGACTTGAACCCTAGTCTATTTGGCCCCCAACACCTTTCCCCTACACCACGATGACACTCCAGACAGGATTATAAGTTTGCTTTTAGAAGGAGCATCCTAGGTCCCCAGGATCCTATGTGAAAAGATTAGCCCATCCAGCACCTTCACTCATTTCATTATTTAACAAAATGTTAGTGATCACCATTCTGTGCTGGGGACCACTCCAGGCTCTGGTCCTCCCACTAAGAGTTGGTAGAGGAGTAGTTTAGTAACTTTTTCTTTCTTTTGCTATTTATCCCCTTTGAAAACTTCCATTTATGTTTATGCTTATGTTTATCAATGTGTGTGTGCATTGTAGGCCAGAGTTTATGCATATAAATTTTGACAAAATATGAAGAAAATTATTTGAAAATCATAATACTCTATCAATAATATGCAGTCGTAGTGAACAGCAAATTAATCAGAATGAAGTTTACCTCTAAATGTTTAAAAGCTCTAGGATTTATTCTACAGAATAACAGAAGCATTTCCAAAAGGGAGACTAACTTGGACAATGCTGTTCGTTTTCCCTTTGCAAAGAAACCACTCCAAAGCAGGGGACCGCTGGCTAATTTAGAATAATACAGAAGACTTGAAATATTTATCTATCCCATTTGACCACAAAAATAAATACAAAGTGTCAATCTTAAGAGTGTCCATGAGTGTCTCCTCTGCTTTACGAACAATACTGCTTGAGGCCCACGGTCACCATCTAGTGCACAACAGGAGAGTATGAATAGCCAGGCCGAGCTGGGGGAGATGACAAAGGCTGCTGACCAGTGAGGTGGGCAGGTGAATCTGCTTGTATCCAGAGGTTTGGGTCATTGGTTATATAATGCTATCTGGGTGGCCTCTTCTTCCTTCTAGTAGCATGAATTATCTGGTGTTAATTGATGCTTTCACTTTGCCATGGATACTGTCCAACTCTGAACAGCATGTTTTCCTTTCTCGTAGGGAGTGAAGTTGACGAGGCCAACAGTATAACGAAGGAGGCGCTCCTTACACTGCGATGTATATATGTACAGGATTGTACATACAAACAGTTCTGAAGACTTGTACTTGTGAATGTTGCTTCGATGCATATTTTATTTTTTTACACAAAAATATGATATAACTGTTTAAGTGCCTTAAAATGTATTTGACAAGAGCGTTATTTCCAAAACCTAGTTTGTTGGTTACTGCCAGGGGTGGTACAGTATTTTGGAGTTGTTTAATGGTTTTTTTCCTAACGCAAGAAACAGTCATCTAAGTGACAAAAAGCAAACATGTTTTCCTCTTTCCACCTTTTGTGCAATACAACTGTATACTAGTCACTGTACTGCTTGAAATGAGGTCGCACCATCAGGAAAATGCCCTTCTGATGACAGTGAAAATTTCCAAAGTCGTCTTCACGAATACTTTGATTTCTTTGTGATTCTTTTTTTCTACAACTGTGACATGCCTCTTCTTTATCAGCTCAGCAGGGGTCATAGATTGAATAGATGCTGAAAATCGTAACTTATCTGCTTTTCTTGACATCATTTTTTTAGACATTCCTTCAAATAGTTTCCACACAGAAATTCCTCAGTCCCATTATAAGAGATTGTGGTGTTATATGTCTTAAATTTATTATAAGCTGCTTCAAAGAAAGGGCCTGATGTTTGAGTTATGAGTCAAGTAAGTGAAGTTTTGAGATAAACTACAGGATTTGGTTTTCAGAATTTTTTAAATTATATTTCAATATGCTTTTCCTTTTTCTTCCATAATTTTTTTCTTTCGTGTTTTCCAACGCACTTGCAAACTCATAACAGCCAAATATGAGACGCAAAAATGTTACAGTTGGAGAGTGGCAACAATTCACATTCATAACTGAGACCAAAACTTTTTTTCCTGTTCCACAGATGTACTTAGCACAAATTGCCCCTTTTAGCCAGAAGCAGCCTGGTACATCCTTGAATTAGGCACACTTAAGGCATTTGACACAAGTTATTAGTGAGAATTTTCTTGGCAGATTTGACAAATGTTTGCAATATTTTTTAAAAAAATTAAATCATATTGCTCTTATGAATACATGAAAATATAAAAGTCATAGATGCAAACAGTTGTTACATATCCACATTCTGTTTAGCCAGATGGAAAGAGAAAAGGACACAGAAAATCAAAACCATTCATTAACCAAAATATTAAGTAAAATTAGTTCCCAGTTGAGCATCAGCTTTCAAAGGAGTATCCAATACTTGCTTCTACTACGGCTGGAAGAGCTTTCACCGGACCCAAAGAGAGAATAAAGCGATATATAGAATTAAGGGAACGCTTTTTTTCTGTTTCCTGCACACTATTCTGTCACATCGTCTCTACGTGTCCTTTCTTGATTTGACAGATGATATTGGCATCCTGGGTCACGCTGAGGCCGCACTCTCTCCGCAGCAGCTGTCTTGTTGTTTTGTCAACAAGAAAAAATCATTCCTTCAAAACTTACCAAGTTTATCAATAGTGTAAATTTATACTATTGTTACTGCCAGGTACTTCTGACTCATTCCAATATCATTGAAGCTCATAAATTTCACAAGAGTCATCCTCAGTGTAAATTTTAAGACTACTGCCAGACCCCGCAAAAATCAATGCTAAACAGGCTGTTTGTCAAGAATTTCTGTTGTCAAGAATTTCACTTGTGTCTAAAACTACAGTAATTTTGCGCGATACTTTGATGCTTACATATGGAGCACAGAAAGCCTTTCATGTTTTGTTCCTACAAGCTTCTTTGAATTTCAGAGTAAATGGAATTGTCTGTCTGTCTGAGCTATCATAAAAATCTTTCTCCTTAGCGTTTGAATACTGATTTTTTTCCCCCAACTTATCTACCTCTATTGTCTAACACCTATAGTAGGTGTGATTATGGGATAAAATTCAACTGAAAATGCTATCACATTTTATCTTTTGCTTTGAAAAATGTGTTTTGTTTTCAAATAGTCTTCTTTACCTAGTGACTTTTGGTGGCTTTAGTGATATGTTTATGCCTATTTCTTTTTTTACACAAATGCTGTGGCATATTTTTCCATAAGGAACAAAAAATAAAATCAAAATTCATTTTTAATCATGTTCATTGGGATTTAATAATTCATATCTTAAAATATTTTATTATGTTTATGCACTGGCAAGCTCTCTGTTTTATGCATTTATTTTTTCTAAATGTATTTATGAGAGAAATACATTAGATTATATTTATGTTTACTAATTTTTTCACCTGCATTTTTTTAAGGGTTGTTATGAAATTTGATTTTTTAATGGGTGATAATGTTAATCTTTTCGTGTGTTCTTTTCTAAGTTTTAAAAATTTGTGGTTTTTTTAATTCTTCCCTATTCTGTTTAAAACTAACACACCTCTGGCTAATGTTCAGTATTTGTTTATGCTAAATACCAAATTTTTCAAAAGGATTGCTGAAGTAAGGACGTGGGTTATTTATGGTTAACGGAAGATGAAAATGATTCTGTGATTAAACAAAGAGATGTTTCAGAAATCACAAGAGAACCTCTGGCTTATTTTTAACCTAATTTCAGATGCACTCAAAATACCTTCCAAGTATCTATAGATTGCTCTTGATTCATTCCAGGACTATTACATCACTTGCGGTTCAATAGACATAAGTTCATAGTCTTCCTGGGTATCCATCTCCATACCGTCGCTGCGCCATAATGTTAAAATCCAGAAAGAGCTCTGCTTTTTCATCAGAGATACATGTTCCCTGCTTCAGAGTTGAGGACCAAAAGAGAAAAATACCCAAAAGAAAGGGCAAAATTTAGGTAATCTAAAACCACCTTGTCATATTTTCGAAGGATAGGACAGATGAAACCTTAGAATGCCTTTTCCAAACCCAGTGTTTTATGTGAGCAAGTTACCCTGTGTAGAATTCCGTGCCTTTGTGTTCCTGTTTTGCTGACTTGGCTTAGCAAGTCTTCTTTTCTCTCTGGAAGGCTGACAAGAATGTCTCCTCCTCGACGAGGCTTTCCTGCCTCGCCAGCCAGTGCTAGATTGCCCCCTTCCATGTGCCCTTAGAACACGTCCCTCAAGTCTTCTGAAACCTGTGCATCGTCTAATCATCACTTACTTATCTGTCTCCTCCAACGTGGTCCTCATTTCTGTTTTTCTCCTCTGCCCAGCATGGTGCGTGGCTCAGAATAATAGCCAAAAAAATGTGTGTTGACTTTCCAAACTGTGATCTTAACAGGTAGGACATGAGGCTTCACATTATGAAAGAGCCCTTCCCTACATATAGATCATGACTAATTTACAAAGAAAACTGACTTTTTTACTACTATTTCTATCCTGAGTAACACTGTGAAGCTGCATTGTGCTACTCAGAGAAATGCATTACTTCCTAGCTGTGTAAACATTAACTTGCCAAGGTGAGGCTACACATGTAATGTGCAAATAACTTTCATCTTATGTGCTTTGGCAGAACAATAAACCCTGGATAATTTGGGCTAAATCAGGTTGGGTTGATCTGAATTAGTGAATACTTTATATGCATAAAAAATAAAGGGTTTTTCTTATAGAAATTCTGACATACTATAAAGACTAGATACAAATTATTATGATTATCATCATATCATTGGTTTGTATATAGATGTATACAAAAGTTCTCGTAAGACTTTATTCTCTTTAATAAACCAACTAATCTTCTTTGCACTATAGGACAGTGTCTCAAATGCGAGTAAAATACTAACTTCATTTAAAGGGAAAAAAATTTCTCATAGACCCTGGAGAACTTATCTACAGAGCCAATTATGAGAAACTGTATTAAACGTTAAATCCAACTCTAACGATCGGTTGGTGTCAGTGTGCTCGTAAACACAAGAGCAGAGGAGAGCACTGAGATTGCAGGGCCATACTGAGTCTTAAGAGGGTCATCCAGATGATTCCAGTGGGCTTTTCCAGATCTCCACTCCTCAGACTCCACGGCTGTTCTCTGCGCTCCACCACCCAGCCATGGAATTCAGTTCCAGTTCCTTGATTTCTGCAGAAGTCTAGACACACTGAATGTCTGGAGGTACAAACTTAAAATTGAATATTAGCCGTGCTGTTCCCACTCATCTCCCAGCCACCCTGCCACCTGGAATTTCACCCTGACCACCCCATAGGCTCTCTCCACATGCCCCATTACCAGCTCTTCCCACCCCCTTCTCTCCCCAACTCCCAAATTCACAGATACTTAGCCATCTCTGTTCATTCTCTGACTTCCAGAACATGCCCTAGGGCCTACTTGCAACAGCCACAGCACACTCCTAAAAAGCCGTCTTCCCTTAGATGGCTACATAACCTGGTGACAGAAGCTTCATAATTTCCATTTTCCTCTCCTTTCGGTCAGCTCACATTTCTATACTGGGCTTTGAAATGAGGCAATATGAGAACTTATGTATGTCCTGGACAAGCTGTACCCCAAATGTCAGGGAGGAGGGGAGAGGGAGCGTGTGACTCTTCCATATACACTAGAAAAATAGGCAAAGTATATGAATGGTAATTTATGCAAGATGAAATAAAAATGGATAATATATTTTAAAATATTCAATCTTACCAGAGAGCAGGGAAATATGCATTTAAATGAGATACTATTTTTCACCTATGAGATTGACACAAAGTTTAAAGTTTGATAATATCCAAATACTGATGAGGGTTTGGGGAGAGGGCACTCACGCCCTTCTATTGGGAGCACAAATGGCGATGGAATTTCTAGAGGCTATTTAGCAGTATCATCAAAAGTTTCAACATTTGTGTTCTTCAACTGAGCTCTTCGTTTCTAAGAATTTACCCTGCAGAAATAGACTGGCATCCAAGGATCTATTGACAAGGATGTTTCCAGAGCACAGATAAGGCCGAAAGGCCACCCAAGTTCCCCAAATCAGGGAAATGTTTAAATAGTCAATGGTATGTTCTCATTGAAGAACATTATTTAGCCATTAAAAGAAATGAGGGTAGACTACCTTGTAATGACAATACATTTTTCAGTGGGAAGAAAGATAAATTTCAGGAAAAAATGTGCATTCTGTCATCCTATTTTTATAGATCCCATATTTTCATTAGTTAAGATATATGTTACATACGTGTAGGGATACTACATGCATAAAAAATGTTGAGAAGGATAGTTATACCTGACATTTATTGAGCTCATTCTTTATGCCTGACACTATTCCAAGCGCTGTGTGTCATCTCGTTTACCCCTCTCAACAGCTCTATGAGGCAGGTAGTATTATCCCCATTTTACACATGAGAAACTGAGTCCCAGACTAAGTGGCTTGCCCAAGGCTGCAAAATTATTAAGTGGGCACATTTTAACCACGATTAGACTACTTCACAGTGGTTACTCCAAGGAAGCAAGAATGCAGAAAGGATATTTATATCTTTAATTTATTTTATTTTAATCACACTTTGGAGGGGTTATAATAAGCACAAAGCACAAACTGGTGCTACCTCTGCTGCTTCTGGAGGGCATGGCATAGTTCATCTCTGAGCAGTGGCGCACTTGGCAAGCAAAGCATCTTTGGTCGAGAAAGATGAAGGCCTCTCAGCACAAACCAGGTGGGCGAAGGCAAGACAAGGGAATCGATTGTTCAATGAATTGAGGTGAGAGGAATTTTGAGTTGCAGTAGACAGCATGTGACAGGGGGCTGAGAGGTCCAAAAATAAGGAGAAGAGGAAGAAGAGAGGAAGAGGGCCCAGTACATGGCTACATGAGAGACGATAATCCAGGGAGAACTGTCTGATGGCAGAACGGCCAATGGCCTTCTGAGGACAGTAACTACATAAGTGAGTGCGTGTAAAGCATGTAGCACAGTGCCTGGCACGTACTTAGGAGACTGTGTAAGTGATGCTGGTGATCATCATCATCATTTTTATTAAATTTTTTCAGCTTTATTGAAGTATTTATTGAAGTATAATGGACAAAATTGTAATATATTTGAAGTGTACAATGTGATGATTTGATACACATATACATCGTGAAAGGATTCCCCCTTTAAGTTAATTACCACATCCATCACCTTACAGTTTTGGTTTTTCTGTTTTTTTTGGTGAGAATGCTTAATATCTACTCTCTTAGCAAATTTCGATTATACAATACAGCATTATCAACTACAGTCAGCATGTTGTACATTAGATCCTCAGACCTTATTCGTCTTATAAGTGAAAGTTTGTACCCATTAACCAACCTCTTCCCATTTCCCTGCCCCACCCCCTAGCCCCTGGCAAACACTTTTCTACTCTCTGTTTCTTTGAGTTCTACATTTTTTTTTTTATTCCACATTTAAATGATGCCGTGCAATATTTGTCTTTCTCTTTCTGACTTATTTCACTTAGCATACTATCCTCCAGGTTCATTCATGTCATTGCAAATGGCAGGATTTTCTTCTTTTTTAAGGCTGAATAATATTCCATTGTGTATATACACTGCATTTCCTTTATCCATTCACCCATCAATGGACACTTAGGTTGTTTTCATATCTTGGCTGCAATGAACAATGCTGCAACGAACATAGGAGTACAGATCTCTTCAAGTTAGTGATTTCATTTCCTTTGGAAAAATACCCAGAAGTGGAATTGCTGGATCGTACGGTAGTTCTGTTTTTAATTTCTTGAGGAACCTCCATACTGTTTTCCATAGTGGCTCTTTCTGCAGCTCTAAAACACCACCCCCCGTCACCCCCAAAAAGAACCTTTAGTAAAAAAAATCCACTTTACACCAGGGCTTTTTGTTCATCTAGGGGTTAATGAAGTAAAAAGTTCAACATCTACTAAGAGGTGATATAGAGGAAAGAACATAGAACATTTCAGGAATAAAGACACCAAGTCATAGGCAGGGATTCTGTGCATGAGGCAATCAGAAGAATGGAAACTCTTGGAAATCTTGGGGGAGAATACTTCCCACAGAACATGGAATTCATTCCCAAACTATTGTATCCAAATGTAAGTTAATATGTATTCAGGTGGACTGCAGGATTGCAAGAGTAGGAGCTAATATTCAGTGCTCTGATTCGTAGCACTTGCCGATTTCTGTGGTGTAAACACTCCCTGGCCGATTTCAAGCTATCAACACGCTGTTCCTGAAGGCGGCGTTAGAAGAGATGTGCACGATTGCCTCTCACAAGATGATACAAGCGGACTCCAGCGCACCTCTGCACTACAGGTCAATACTAGGTTCTCTACTCCAATTTTTCATTTAATTCTTTCAACAACGCTAGGAGGATATGTACTGTGATTGTATGCACTGTACAGATAAGGAAACTAAGGCCAAAAAGGTAAGTGGTGAGTGCAAGCTTCACAACTCTTAAGTGGTAGAGTTGGGATTTGAACTCAGATTTTTCTGACTCCAGAGCCCACATGACTAACCACTAAGTAGACTCCTCTACAACCCGAAAATCACGTGCTCCTTGCAAGATCTTATCTTCTCATATTCTTCAATTCTGGAAACTAGCAGTGATTCTGAATTCTGAGTTGTGCAACCAAGGTTTTGGTAAAGGATG